AATTCAGAAATGAACCAGCTGAGTCATGTCAAGATAAAGCAGAACTTCCAGGGAGGGGCACGAGCTGTTGCTGAGGTTTTTTGGTGAGACCAGGAATCTCATCTACACAATTCCTTCCCCCTCCAGCCCTCAGCTGTGATGAACCTTGGTACCAACTCACCTGGCCTGCTGTTCCAGGGCAGGGTAGAGCCGCGGTAGAGAAACACATTTCCCTGGGAACTGAGGGGCCATGCAAGTCTCCTTTTAACAATTTAGTGCCGACCTCATCAACCTGAAATAGCTTGGATAGCCAGGAAAATCAAGATCGTCTCAGGATTCCTGTCCATTTTGAAAAGATTGTAAATCCTCTTATCTAAGAGGTCTGGGCTTTGTAAATCCTGTTAAGAATTTTAGCCTTTGTCCTGAGGGCAGTCACTGAATGGATTTAAACCCAGATCAGATTTTTTGATATGGGAAAGACATTCAGAGGGCAGTTGTCAGCCCCAGTGATGAATGGGAAAGAGGGTGGGGAAATGGATTCTCACCAGGGCAGGCAGGGGAGGGAATGATAGGAGAGCAGTTCCCTTTGGGGCCAGGAGGTGCCTGAGGGTGGGGTACGGGTCAGCCTGTGATTTGGGGCAGGCCAGCAGGCTGAATTCTGCATGCTCACCCCAGGGCTCTTGCTGGGCCCCACTTGGGGAAGGCCCCACAGTCCAGGACAACCAAGGAACTGCAGTTCTAGGAGGCCACGGCTGGCTCGGGAGGACAAGTGAGGACACGGGGAATGTCCGGCCATGATGACCGCTAAACCACTGATCCTCCTTCCTGCTGGGGAGTTCTGGAGGGCCCCACTGTCAGGGTCTGTGTGAGAGGAGCTGATCATGTCCCTGTGATGTAGGCAGGCATACAGGATATAACTGATCAGGTTTGTAAGCTGGAAGACCATGCCTTCACCATGCCCGTGTGACCTCATGTGACCTGACCACACCTGTGTGTCCACTGGCCAATCAGGTTAACTAAACACTCCCCTTTTAAAAGGCAAGGAGCACCCCAAAATCACTCCCTGCCTCTGCTTCGCTGCCCGTGATAAGCTGTGGATAGCTGCTCAAAACGCCCGCTGTACGTGGCTCTTGGCCTGCTTTCTGCTTGCAATGAACTCCAACCTAATTCCAGACTTTCCCTCTCCTTAGATTGACTAACGCCCTCACTCTCCTATGCATTTCTCTCGCTGGATAAAAAGCTTACAACGTTTCATGCTGCCTCGTTCATTTATGCTGGTATTCAGAAATAAGAACCCACACAGGCTTGTTAATATTGGGGACTTATTAATAAGCACACGGCGATGCTGTGTGGCACCCCATATTGTGACATCACCCGGAGTTTTTCAATCCATCTTACTGATTTTATACTTACGGGAAAACACTGACCCAGGTTCCCCACCTCCCAAAGATTTACAGCCAGAAGACAGGGGCCAAGGTGACATGTGTAGCTAGCATGCATATTTGAGAGGTGCAAAGACCTAGGTGCACATGCAAGGTACAGAGTTTACTCCCAATAGTGGGCACCTGGGAAGGGGTAGAAGGCGACAGGTTTTCTACAGATGGACATTCCTGGAAGAGGGAATACCTTGTGCGAAGATCCAAAGCTGGGACAGGGAGGGTGCTCTGCAGGAGCATGGCGCTTTCTAGACGCAAGGAGATAGGCTTATTTATGTTGCTCAAGTTCACCAGGTTGTGAGGACCTGGGACAAGAATCTGGCCTTGGCCCTGAAGACATTATTGTCATCATCAATGATTGAAACAGGAATTTTCTGGTGACATCATTCAGGGAAAACCCAAAGACACTCTGTTCCCCACCCCCCAAAGCAACCCTCCATAGCCCTAAGACGCACATTTTTAGTACCAGCCTCCTCTCTCCTTATGCCAATCTCACCTGTTTCCCCATTTGGCTTCTTTTAAGGCTTTACAAGAGAAGGTAGATTATTTAAAAAACAATGCTCTGGCCGGCGCTGCGGCTCACTAGGCTGATTCAGTAGTGAATGACAGAATAAAGGAGAATTACCAAAACAGCCTTAGCGTTACATAGGAGACACACCTTCATCATCACTGTTGTCATCCTCATCATCCCCAACATTCACTGTAACATGAATTGGGTTTCCTGTCTGTCGGGCATTCATGTTAAATTCCTTCCCTCGGTCAGCGTCGCAGCTCACTAGGCTAATCCTCCACCTGCGGCCCCGGCACCCCGGGTGCTAGCCCTGGTTGGGGCACCGGATTCTGTCCCAGTTGCCCCTCTTCCAGGCCAGCTCTCTGCTGTGGCCCAGGAGGGCAGTGGAGGATGGCCCAAGTGCTTGGGCCCTGCACCCCATGGGAGACCAGGAGAAGCACCTGGCTCCTGGCTTTGGATCAGCGCAGCGTGCCGGCTGTAGCGGCCAACTGGGGGGTGAACCAACAGAAGGAAGACCTTTCTGTCTCTCCCTCTCTCACTGTCTAACTGCCTGTCAAAATAAATAAATAAAAATAAATTCCTTCCCTCATTTTATCCTCACAGCTCTAGAAGTAGGCACACTTCTCATGCACACTTTCCAGAAGAAAAGCCCTGATACAGCTAAGTTAAATGGCCTCCTCAGGGAATCAGAACTGTGGCCGCCACCACGGTTGACTCAGACAGCACGCACTTGATGTGGAGCAAGCAGTGGGATGCCTGACACACAGAGAAGCACTTGCCTTTGACAGGCACGGGGAAGAGCTCCCGCTTTCCTGAGCCCAGGAGGAAGACAGTCCCATTGACCTACTGACCCGGTAACAAGGCCTGGGAGGGCTGAGTCAGACGAAGGAAATGCCAGACAAGTTCACATCTACTTACTGGGCCATGGAGTAGGATCAGGAGTGGAGCTGGGCTAGGGACACGACACCCCAGCAACATAATTATACCTCTTGCTCTCTGTGGTCAAAATGATTGCTTCATGCCAGTCACTTGTTTGGTTCCCCAAAAGGCCACCCGGATAAGCTTTTCCTTGGTGAATTTGCCACAGAGCTCAAGCTGGCTCACAGTGCAGTCTGTGTCAGAGGGGACTTTTCCGTCTGGAGAAATAAAATCCAGCCGTTCAACTCGTGGGAGGCCGAGGCATACGTCTACATACCAACGTGGTCATTAATAACTGGTGTCAGTCTGGCAACTGGAATGCTCCTTCCTCCCCAGTGAGGGCACAATTTTCCCCATATAAGCAATTCCAGGGAGCCGAATCAGTCATCCGCGGGTTGATTTGTGAGTGTATGCTGGGAGCTAGCAGCTGCTTGCAGCCAGGGCAGGGTGGGGTCCACTGAGTCATGTCCCACAGCAGGGCACATCTGTGTGAGCACAGTTTCATGTTGCTCTTTCCTGGACAAAGGTGGGTCACAATACCAGGAAGGCACCAAGTATCACAGCAGGTCAAACAGGGACTGGGCTTCTGAAGCCCAGAGACCAAGTCAGGAGAGTCCTCCCAGGGGGGAGTGGGGCTGCTCCCCAGGTGGAGAAGGGAGGGCAGAGTCTGCCTCTCAGATGTTGGCGAGGAAACCACAAATGAAGAAGATTCCAGCCACCCATCTCCTGGTGAGCTCGTTGGCCTCCGAGCTGCATTCCTTTGAGCTGAGCGCGAGTGGAATTTCCAGCCTAGGTAGCAGGATGGAACTTGGAACAAACAGCTCAGCAGAAAAGAACCCGAGGACAATGGGCCTGCGCCCGGCTGCTGGCTGCCAGCTCTGCAGCTCACAGAATGCTGGAGCTCAGCGGGTCTTCCTGGGGGTAACTGCTACCTTCACACCGTACCAGTTCAGAGGATCCAGGGGGGAATGCTCATGTTCAGACAAGCTGAAAGCCTGGGAAGGGTCTGAGTCCTTGTCCTCGCTCCACTTTTACACCTAGCAAGGACAAATGAAGGTCTGTTTTGCTTTAAGGATGGGAATGGTCCAGACACATTGGGGGGGGGGGGGATGCCTTCGGTGAGAACTAAAGTGTGCTGCAGAGGGGGGGTTGGGTGGTGGTGAGGGGCTGTGACAGCAGGTTCCAGGACAAGGACGGCAGGGGAGAGTGAAGAGGGGCAGCTGTTGGTTTCAGAGCCAGGGAATCAAAGAGGAAGAGACCAGCCTCACAGAGGAGAAAACAACTACAGAGACACATCCATAGACACTGGTGTCTCTACCAGCCTCATCTGAATTTCTCATCCAGTCAAGTTCTGGGAGCATTCCGTCAATCACACTGAAAAAGGCAGCGGGACGTTCTGTTCCCGCTGTTCCTCCTCTGCATTTTCTCATGGCATGATTCCTTCAGGCGCATGATGTATAGATGGGGTCCTAAACGAAGACTGCATTCCAGTGATTTATACGTACAGCATCTCTTCTAGCTTATCAAGGAGTTGGAAGCAGGAATCACAAGTTCAACATTGAATAAAGTGCACTGCCTTAAATGTAGCCAGATAAGTGCTTCATAGATGAGAAAGGGGAAGAAAGAGGGAGGGAGAGGAGCAGGCATTGGGCACAGCAGTCAAGACGCCCTTGGGCACCCCCATTCCATATCAAAGTGCCCGGGTTTCAGTCTCAGCTTCACTCCCATATCCAGCTTCCTGCTAATGTGCAGCCCGGGAAGCAGCACAAGATGGCTCAAGTGCTTGGGTGCTGCCACCCACACGGGAGACCTGCACTGAGTTCCAGTTCCTGGCTTTGGCCTGACATAGCTCTAGCTGTTCCAGGCACCTGGGCAATGGGTGGGAGAGCTCTGTGTCTCTGCCCTTTAAATACTTAAAAAAGAAAAATTTAAACATAAAAAGAGTGAGGAAAGAAAGGAAGAGAGGGAGGGAGGAAGTAAGGGAGGAGCGAGGAGGAGGATTAATTTGGCTTGAAAGGCAAGAGAGGGTGGTGGTGGGAGGCGCTACTGAACTTGGCCTGCATCACCAGATACGTGGTGTCACAGAAGGAAGTTACCTAGTGCTGGGGACAGTTCACATTTGGGGAATAATATCTAAGTTTGTCTTGGCCAAGGCTATGTCCCTGCTTTCCTTCTGTGACATATGCAAAACTTGGTTGTTTAACAGCAGTGGAGGTGCAGGGTAAGAAAAGACAACCTGGCCGGTGCCATGGGTCACTAGGCTAATCCTCTGCCTGCGGCGCCGGCACCCCGGGTTTTAGTCCCGGTTGGAGCACCGGATTCTGTCCCTCTTCCAGTCCAGCTCTCTGCTGTGGCCCAGGAGGGCAGTGGAGGATGGCCCAAGTGCTCGGGTCCCTGCACCTGCATGGGAGACCAGGAGGAAGCACCTGGCTCCTGGCTTCGGATCGGCGCAGCGCGCCAGCTGTAACAGCCATTTGGCCATTTGGGGGGTGAACCAATGGAAGGAAGACCTTTCTCTCTGTCTCTCCCTCTCTCACTGTCTAATTCTGCCTGTCAAAAAAAAAGCCTTTAACAGGGAAATTGCAAAGGCAAAGACCACAGAGCTCCATTTATTGGAGCTCTAACTACCCCACAGAGCTACCACTAACTTCCTTAGTGTTCGTGACAGTTCTCTCATCAGCCCTTAAAACAGGAGTGGGGACAATTCCCTCCTGTCTACCTACTGGCTAATTAAAATTGTTGTACACTTGGAGCCCACAGTACCTCTTTCACAGTAAGCATCTGTAAAGGTGAAAGAGACGGTGGCCCAACCGGAGGCAGTTAGGTGGGAAGTTAGAAATCAGCCGTATTTGTGTACACGGGGCCTACGGAAAACAACGTTCCGGCAACAAGGAATACAGCTGCCCAATATTTTACTTTACAAAGTGCTATCCATACTCCGGTAACTTTTTTTTTAAAGATTTATTTTTGTATTTGGAAGTCAGAGTTACAGAAAGAGGAGAGGCAGAGAGAGAGGTCTTCCACCTGATGGTTCACTCCCCAACTGGCCGCAGTGGCCGGAGCTGCACTGATCCAAAGCAGGAGCCAGGAGCTTCTTCTGGGTCTCCCACGCAGGTGCAGGGGCCCAAGGACTTGGGCCATCGTCCACTGCTTTCCCAGGCCACAGCAGAGTGGAGCAGCTGAGATGCCGGCCCTTCAGGCCAGGGCGTTAACCCGCTGCGCCACAGCGCTGGCCCCCCAATAACTAGATAGGTGGCCCCAGCACCCCCCCCCCCCCCGGAAAAGCTGCCCAAGAGATTCCTCCCTGCCCAGTGCCAAGGGGCTACCCTGCCTGGTAATACTGGGTAATGAAACTTTCACAGCCTTGCCCAAGGCAGGCATCCTGGGAGAATCCTCTCTGCTCACTGACAAGTGCATTGCCCAGTACAATCGGGGCAATCAAGCCCCAGGAGGAACCTCACCTACGACACCGCGGTAAGCACTGTCCAGGAGGCGGGGAGGGGGGGGACGCAGCTGAAAGGCTGGGCCTGCTTCCTCACAGGTCTCAGACTGGCCGCCCGGCCTGCGGGGGCCCCCAGCCCTCCGCTGAGACCCCCGCCCGGCCTGCGAGGGCCCCTCAGCCCCTGTCTCCGCTGAGACCCCCGCCCAGCCTGCGGGGGCCCCTCAGCCCCCAGCCCTCCGCTGAGACCCCCGCCCGCCTGCGAGGACACCTCAGCCCCCAGCCCTCCGCTGAGACCCCCGCCCGGCCTGCGGGGGCCCCTCAGCCCCCAGCCCTCCGCTGAGACCCCTCGCCCAGTCTGGGGGGAGCACTTCAGGCTCTAGACCTCGGCTCAGATCCTCGCCGGCCTGCGGGTGCACCTCAGCCCCCAGCCCTCCGCTGAGACCCCCGCCCGCCTGCGAGGACACCTCAGCCCTCAGCCCTCCGCTGAGACGCCGCCTGGCCTGCCGGGTGCGCTCTGTCCACTAAACTACGTGTACTTGCTTTCTCCAGTCTGAGCGGCTGGGCATTCTCTCACATTCCATCCGGATGCCCTGCCTCATCACACCTTGCTGACCACTCCTGTCTCACGCTTGAATTCTTTCTACAAGACGAACCCTCGCTCTATGCCACCCACCTCCGCTGACAGCACTAGAGGTGGGCAAAGGGTCGGAACCATCTTTAAACACAGCGCCTTTCGGTTTCGTCAGTTTAGACGACTGCCAGGCCCCAGCTCCCACAGGCCAGAAGACACACGTGTACGATACGCATGCGCCCGACGGGACACGCCCGCCCCTCGGGCTGAACCCCTTTAGCCAAGTCACCAATCAGGCGGCCCTCGGGGCAAAACCCTCGGCCAATGGGGAGGCTGTAGTCATCACGTACGCCACATACTTTGCATAAGCCCTCCCCGCCCCGCCCCCACGCTGGGGCCGCGCCCCGCCCGCCGCTCGGATTGTCGCCTAAGCGCCTCACCCCGGCGCCTGATTGGCTCTCTCGCAAGCCCCGCCTCCGCCCCCGCCCGCCGCCCGCCCCTCGGCCCCCCGACAGCGGCGGGCGGAGCGAGGCACGCAGGCGCGCGCGGCCTCTCTCGTCGGCAGCCCGCCCTCCCTCACTCCCCTCCCTCCCCGCCCCTCTCCCTCCTCTCCGGGCCTGCGCGCGTCCCGCGCCCGCACGCGCCGCCGCCAGCTGAGCCCTCGCGCTGCCGCCTCGGCCCGCGCGTGCCTTTCCCCGGGCTGAGGCGAAGGCGGGACCCTGCCCTGCTGCCGCGGCGCGCGGTGCCCGGGCGGCTCGGCCCGCGGACGGAGCCGCGCGCCCCGCTGCCCGCGCCTCGGCGCCCCCGCGGGGCCGGGGCGGCGCCGCGCCCGGCCGCGTGAGCGCAGAGCCGACCTCGAGCCCTAGCTCGGGGCCCCACCCATCCGGGCCGAGGCGGCCGCGGCCATGGCCGAGACGGAGGAGCGGAGCCTGGACAACTTCTTCGCCAAGAGGGACAAGAAGAAGAAGAAGGAGCGCAGCAGCCGGGCGGCCAGCGCGGCGGGCGCGGCGGGCGGCGCCGGCGGGAGCGGCGGCGCGGCGGGCGCGGCGGGCGGCGGGGCGGGCGCGGGGGCCCGGCCGGGGGACGGCGGCGCCGCGGGCGCGGGGGCCGCGGGCGCCGGCGCCGCCGCCAAGGCCGTGACGAAGGTGAGGGGCCGCAGGGCCGCGGGCCGGCGCCGGGGCGGGCGCACGCGGCCGCCGGGTGCCCGCCTCCGCCTGCCCGGGGGGCGCCGGGAGGGGGCGCGGGCCGCCGCGTGACGCGGGCGCGCTCGGCGCGGCGCTCCGGGGCCGGGCTCCGTGCGCCCGGCGTGGCGGGCGTCGGCCGGGCCGCGGCCGCGTGGTACACAGCGGGGCCAAGCCGGGGTTCCGGCGGCGCGCTGCGGGGCCGAGAGCAAGCAGCGGGCCCGGGAGCGCCCTGCCCGCCGAGGAGGGCGGCGGGGCCCGCGCGGGGCAGGGGGCCCGGGACGCGCCCGCTGGTCGCGGCCGGCTGGCTCGTGGCTGTGTGTGGGAGCTGTGGTTCAGCCAGTGGCGTTTCTTCTCGCAGGATGAAGACGAGTGGAAAGAGTTTGAGCAGAAGGAGGTGGACTACAGCGGCCTCCGAGTCCAGGCGATGCAGATAAGGTGAGGGGTCGTGGCCGATCGCGGACAGGGAGGGTGCACGTTCCGTCCGTCTGGGCGCTGGGCGGCCTCGCTCGCAAGTTCACTGCCGGCTCTCAGGTCCCCAGCGCCCTGGCCCGCTGCCCTTCCGGTCAGGCCCGCCACGTGAGATGGTTGCGGTGGGTCTTGGCATTCCAGATCCTCTTCTCTCCGTGCTGGGAGTTGGACGTGGTTCTTTTTGTTTCCAATGAAATTGCTCTAAGCAAGTTCATGGGTGTTTTTGTCATTGGAGTGGAGGGTTCTTCCTGAGCAGTGCAGCCTGCGTGTGTTCTCACAGTGAAACCCGCAGGTGTACCCCCCCCCACCAGGTGGAGAAACCCACATCTGGTGCACGGCAGGACCCCCCCCCCCCCCAGCACAGCAGCCATCCCAGCACTGGAGCTGAGTTTACAGTCCTAGAGCTTACCTGTGCTAGTTAAGAAAACAGTACATTTTAAAAAAAATCGGGCTGGTTTGGAGGATTTGAGATTAAGGACACGTTTTGTCAAGTCCAGTCTGGCAGTAGCTTTTAAATTGAGGTTGAAGACCGTAGTTTGCTCAGTTTGTGTGCAGATGGCGGTGGATATGTGGTTCCCTTGTTTCAGGATTGGAAAGGAGAATGCATGCGCTCAAGAAGCGGCCTCCAGCTTGGGGTTTGCAGTTTGTAAATGCCAGTCACGCTGTGGCATGGCGGAAGAAGTAAATTTCTTAACCGAAAACTGCCCTTTGACCTTTCTAGTGCCAGTATTTGTGGCTTTAAATAATTTCATTGGAAACCAGGGCTGCTGTTTTGATTTTTTTTGAGCACTTTTGGCAGCTTGGGCGTGAATGTCCTGGTGGTTATTCCATGAATAAGTGAGACCCGGTTGACAGTGGGAACTGTTAGGTGGCGTGGCGTCTCCACTGAGGTCCCTTTGTAGCAGTGTGAGGACCAATGCCTGGCGCGGGGTGTGGTTCCCTCCAGTTGCAGGTGGCTTTCAGGAGGTGTTGAGGTGGGCAGCCCTGGTTTCCTTGTGCGGGGCTGAGACCGCTGGGCTCGAGGCGCTGCCTGTGGTGTGACCCGTCCTGGTCTCAGCCTGCCCTTCCTCTCGGCCTGACTGCGGCTGCTTGCACACTTGGGGACAGGAGCAGTAACTGCTGTGTTTGCTCTAACTTCCTGGACAGGAGTAGCACTGCATGAAGGGAGAAGCTTTGCAGTTCGTGGAGTTAGAAGTTAGCTTTGTTAGGTTCTGGAGAATGTTTCAACGGGAGCAGTACTTTCTGTCATTTAGTGGCAATCCCGTTGCCACGTCAGGGCCCTTTTAGTCTTGATGCCAGTGGGCTGCTCCTGAGGAGGTGAAGTTCCTTAAACAGCTGGCATGCTTCGCCCGCCGGTCAGAGCCGCGAGTCTCGGCCGCCGTGAGCGCTTCGGTCCTGCGTGGCCTGAGGTGGCCAGTTTTGATAGGTGCCTTTCTCTGTTGCCAGCACCTGGTCGTCCCCTCACCAGGCCACCCGGCAGCTCCTGTACCATTGCTGTTCTCAGGAATCTGCTTTCGTGGGTCCACCGTAAACCACTGTGTAAGGGAACTTAACAACTGCTGGGAAAGGCTGTGGATGAGAAACCGTCTGCACTGAATCCGAACAGGAGAATTTTCACCTGATGTGTACTCAGGATCCTTGTAAACATCGCATCCCTTATTCCTGACAGTAAATTCAGAGTGGGAGTTCCCCAGGGAAAGCCATGTTGGTTCGTAGACGTGGGAAGTAGGTTACTCACAGAAATGGAATGGAATTAATTGTGTTGCAGAATCATGTTCTTTGGGGAAAAGACAAACCCGGGTTTGTACTTTACTTCTGCCGCTTTAATTCCATGTGGCCTCAGATGAGCGATTTCACTTGAGAATTTGAGTTCTCAAAGCAAAATTGAGACTACTCAGGATTGTTTAGGGTTTCTTTGAACAGGATGTTTGTAAAATACAAAGTACTTTGTAGAAAATAAACATGTTCAGCTTGGCATCAGCAAAACCATACAAACGAAGTAATTTCTAGCTTAGCCTTAAATGTTGCTAGACAGATCTTGAATAGTTGTCTGTGACTGTGTCTTTTTTAGTGTATGTAAGAGGGTGCTCTCCTCACTGGTTCACTCCCCAACTGCCTGCTCGGACTTGGCCAGATTCAGGAGCCAGGAGCTCAGTCTGTGGGTGACTGAACCCAGTAACGTGAAACCACTGCCTCCCAGGGTCTGCACGGGTGGGAAGCTGGAGTCAAAAGCCAGAGCCAAGTATCCACCCCAAGTATTCCAGTAGGGGAAGAAGGTATAAACCCTTAGACACCTGCTCTAATTGTCGTATTTTCCCTCTGAGAGATGTAGCCTGGCCTGCTCTGTGGCACAAACGAAAAGAAGATTTGTAGTGGAGTTAAAATATTTTGAAGTTCTCAACAGTAGTCTTAAGTTTTCTTGCAATTTTTTGCTTTGAAAGATTACAGCCTTGGAAAAGTTCAAAGGTTAATAAACACACACCATTCGTATCTTGCAGTCTGTGCCACGTGTGCTTTCTCTCCTCCATGTGCTAAGAGTTCCTGCAGATACTGTACATTGTGCGAGTTCTTGACACTTATCCTTACACTAGGTTAGCGTGCTGGGTCTTTGCAGATGAGTGTACCTTGGAAAGGGGAGAATAATTTCAGTAGCAGCAAATACTGCATTACGGTCCTGTCTCATGTTTACCAACTAATTCAAGATTCAAGTACCATGAATATGTGAAATTTTGCGTCTCAATAGATCTTACTTAAGGTCATGTCATTATAGACAAGCTCATGAGAGGGAAACCATTGGTGTTGATAAAGGGGCCTGCCATTTGCTTCTTACATCTTTAAAATGGAGTTTTGGGAGAAAATTAGAAGTAGTTCATTTAATTTGTGAGGTTAAAAATGTTATGTTTCAATCAAGAATTGAGGTCTTCATGCCCAGTGGTTTTCTGAGAACCTTCTTGAGAAATCAACTTACTAGGTAGAGCTGGTTAAGTTGTACGTACTTCCAGAAGAAATTACTTTAAGTACAAGCTAGATTGATTTGTAGCACGTGTTCGGGTCGTCTGCGTGAGGTGTGATGCTGGCTTGAGGGATGTGACGTGTTCTGCAGGAGCACCAGTGGATGGTTCCAGACGTGCAGTGTGCTGTGGACACAGACGCGAGATGTACCACGAGGGGCCTGGGGTAGATTGCGAGGGTGAATCTCAGTGACATGCTAAGCTTCGAGGTCAGCCGCAATTCTTGAGGCTGTTTTTATCCTCCTTTCTGTTCTGACAGTGTCCCCGTCACAGGGCCAGGCCTGTGGAGAGGCCCAGCATTCCCACAGACACTGTCAAGTCTGGATTTTGTTTTGTTGCTTCTCCATAGTATGGAGAACAGGGGGTTGGGGACTGGGCTGGTGATTCTCCGGTTCTGTCCCTTGAGATAGGGAGATGCTGTCTCCTTCTAAGTGTTCTTTATAAGTACACTGTGTAGGGGTGTGGGTCCTGACCAGCCTAATCAGAGGAAATGAATTTCCCAAGTCTCAGAATAGAGCACTGTTGTACAGTTACGTCTGGGGCTGTCGGGAGGACAGGAGGAAACAGGTAGCGGGAAAGAGGATGGGCTGGGAGTCAGGGAGGCACATCTGCTACTTTGTAGCCCTGGAAAAGGTACTTCAGGTGCGAGTGCCAGTTCCGCCTTCTCTGAGGCCTGCGTGCTGTGAGGGGATGTGTAGTAAGTGTCCTTTTCTACATCATTGATCCTCCCAGCTCCGCCCTATCAGTAGTGCCTTTTACAGATCAATGTGTGTAAGAGCATACTTCGAATTTGTTTTTTTTGAGAGGTAGAGGGGGAGCACAGTCTCACTTGCTGATTGACTCTAAACTCCTTCACTGGAGCCAGGAACATGGAGTCGGTCAGATCAGTCAGGTGTCCTGTGTGATGGCAGGAAGCCACCACCTGCTGCCTCCGAGGGTCTGCGTTATCAGAAACTGGACCCAGGAGCCGAACAGGGACGTGAACCCAGGCACTCTGACTTGGGTCGTGGACTCACCTGGCATCTTACCCCCTGGGCCCTGGCGTAAGACAGCGTAGTTGGAGTTGTGGTGATGAACTGATGGTGGCATTGTAGTGTCTAAAAACGTAGATGTTAGCTATTGTGACTCAGCCTGATTTTCTTCTGTAGGAATAAATGTGTGCAATGTGTGTTTTCTGGCTTTGGTATTTAGAAAGTTGACTTTTTTATAAACATACTTATGTGTTTTTTTAAACTATTTAACATGTAAAAAATTGTACAAATGTTTTAAATTAGGTTCCTATCTTTACTTTTCTTTTAAACTATGTCGTCGGGTAAGTGTTTGTATATGGTCCCTGTAACTCCACTTTGACCCTAAGCCGTAAGGTTTTCCTCGTCTGGTTTTGCGCAGCATGGTAGTTTTTAGGAAAGTGGACGTTGCGTTCAGCAGGACTGACTGTCCGGTGGAGAATTTGAAAGCGCAGTGCCGGGGTGGTGGGGGCAGCGGGCTCAGCTGCTGCTTGGGCTGCCATGCTGCTGGAGTGTCAGCTGGGGTCCTGGTTGCTCTGCCTTTGATTCGGCTTGCTGGGTGCGGGGGCTGCGTTCCTTCCCACCCCAGGGAGACCCAGGTGTATTTCTGGCTGCTGGCTTCCACCTGACCCAGCCTGGCTGTTGCAGCTACACCTCCTGAACTAGCGACCATGAAAATGGAGCGGGCTATGCAAATCATTTCTGCCCTGCCTTTCCTACTGCGGCATTTAGGCAAGACTGTTAGCATCCCTGGCTTCAGTTCTTTCAGTCCCGAAATTGTATCTGATATTTTAAGAATTGCAAGAGCCCAAAATATTAAATTTTCTTAGGCTTTATGGTATCGATTTTCAACCCTTTTCATTAAACAAATTATGCTTATTTTTAGAAGCTTAGAGTCTACATGAATTTTTAAATTTATGGTGGTTTTTTTCATTTCTGTATTTGTCTCTGAAGGCAGGGAGGTGGTCCCAGGTCTAATAAAGGAAAGTACTCTTGGTTAAGATGTTGTCAGTAGTTGTGTTAGGTAGCTTTTTTTAATATAGAGCAAATACCTGAGAGGAGCTACTTCAGAAGGAAGGAGGTTATTTCCATCCACAGTTTTGGAGGTCCACAGTCCAAGACGGAGCACGCCCACTAGTGTGGACTGTGAGGGCACGGTGGCTGACAGGACGCCTGCAGACAGGGGTCTGGAGGATGGACAGGAAGCCAAGCCATCCTGGTGCAGCCAGGGGCCTGCACGTTAGCAACCACTCCAACCTAATCACTTTCCAAGACCTACCTTCAGGCACCACAGTTGGATCCTGTTCCAGTCTTTTTTTTTTTTTTTTTTTTTATAAAGATGTATTTATATGTTTGAAGGGGTTACACAGAGGAGGAGAGGTAGAGAGAAAGAGGTAGAGAGAAATTGGTCACTCCCCAACTTGCCGCAATGGCCAGAGCTGTGTGGATTTGAAGCCAGGAGCTTCTTCCAGGTCTCCCATGCGGGTACAGGGGCTCAAGGGCTGGCCATCTTCCACTGCTTTCCCAGGCCACAGCTGAGAGCTAGACCGGAAGTAGAGTAGCCAGGACTCTAACCTGCACCTATAAAAGATTTATTTATTTATTTGAAAGTCAGAGTTACAGAGAGACAGAGGCAGAGAGAGAGGTTCCCATCAGCTGGTTTACCTCCCAAATGGCCACAATGGCCACAACTGGACCGATCCGAAGTCAGGAGCAGGGGGCTGCTTCTGGGTCTTCCATCTGAGTGCAGGGCCAAGCACTTGGGCCGTCTTCTGCTTTCCCAGGCCACAGCAGAGAGCTGGATTGGAAGTGGAGCTGCCAGGACTCAAACTGGCGCCCATATGCAGGCAGTGGCTTTACCCACTATGCCACAGCGCCAGCCCTGGGTTTTTTCTTAAGGTACTTTTAGAGGATTTGGAAAAAATACAAAAACAGTTTAAGAATTACCCATAGTCCTTTCTGCTTGGGTAATCAAGTGTTAAAGGTTTTTTGTTTTTCTGTTGAAGATGGCTTATTGCAAACTAATGATTTGAGTTTTGATATCAGTCACCGAATATTAATACAGTTATGAGGAAAATACTTTTTAGAATCCGTGCATAGACATGAACAGCTTTGATCTGGTCTCTTGGTGAGTTAACAGCTCTTTTGTATTGGAATGGCCATCTGAAGGCTGTCATGGTGTGGTGTGTGAGAGGACATATGTGCCCCATCACACGGTAATGGGCTGCTGGCATAGCTTTCCAAGTGGGCTTACGAACCAGTGCCTGGGGACTGCTGGTGTTTGTGTAGCTGATAGACTCCTGGGTAAATCCTGTCTTCTGTGTCTTATTTGGTCATGTTTTGGACTTAACAAGCTACATAAAACAGGGTTATAACGTTTGGTAGTTTTTAAAATCTACTTAACAAATGTTTTCATGTTTGTTTTTCCCAAACAAAAACCGTATTTCCCCCATTGTAACAGTGGCACATGTATGTGCTATTTAATGATAATAAAATGAAGGGTCACCAGTGCTGAACAGTGTGCACCAGATAACTAGGCTAGATGTCTGCTAACTTGGGTGATGGAGGAGGAAACTGAGGCATGGAAAAGCTAGGTGCTGGCCTCAGTGTCCAGGCTGATGAGTAGCAAAGCCTCGATTTGAACCCAGCAGCCTGGCTTCAGAATCTGCTCCTAACTCCTTGCTTCACAAAGAAATTAAAGTCATACATTGTAGCTACTTCTGTAAAACATTTTCAAAAATTTTTCTAGATGTATTTTTATCAGGTGTATATGAGGGGGCTTTAAAAACTCAGGGAAAATGTGCTTGCTTTTTTCCATTCTCCATAACTTTTTTTTAATTCAAGATAGAGCTTCCATCTGCTGGTTCACTCCCCAAATATCTGCAACAACTGGGCCAGGCCAAAGCCAGGAGACTGGCACTCAATCTAGTCTCCCACACAGGTGGCATGGACCCAAGTAAACTTGACCTATCACCTGCTGCCTCCCAGGGTGCATTGGCAGGAAGTTGGGGTCGGAAGTGGAGGCTGGATTGGAATCCATGTGCTCTGATATTGGTGGGTGTCCCAGGTGGCTCGTTGCTACTCTCCAGATGCCACCACCCCCTGCCAGCAAACTTCATGAAGGCTTCATGTAGCTGCTGTAGTAGTGAGTTGCGGTTTATATGACATGAATATTATTTCCGTTTTAAATGACTGCGTAGGATTCAGTTAGGTAATGAGAAAGAAAACAGGGCTCGTTTGGCCAGATTCCTCATCCTTTTCCACCTCCGGAAGTGCTTTATTTACGTAAGACCTTGTATAAATGCAGGTTGAAGATGGAAGTTTCCTGACTGCCACCCTTGCCTCAATTCGGGAATCGCCAGTGGTTGGGAGGCAGTCCATATGATGGTGCCACTGTCTTTGAAATTGCTTTCCAATTTCATCGAGCTGTGCAGGACGAATCTTGTTTGACTAGAAACAGAAGGGAACACCCTTACACGTCCTGCAGGAGCCAGGATATACCCAAGGTGCAGAGTCAGGGTGGGTCATCTGCACGGTGTTGGCTCTGATCATGGCTCAGAAACCTAATGGAGACAGTGTCTAAAAGAACGGAGGCCCAAGGACAGAGCTCTGAAAAACAGCTGCTGTTACAGACAGAACAAAATGGTGGTCAGGATGGGGAAGGAGAGGAGGAACCCGAAGGTCTGTTACAAATCACCACTGTCAAGAAAAATTAACTCGGGAGGCAGGTTAGGAGCCTCTGCCAGGGATATACTCAGTAAGGTCAGAATTGCAAAAAGGAAGTTTGACTTAGTAACTACAGTACTGAAATCCCTGGGTCAGAGATAGGTGTACTTGGTAATTTATATAAAGTAATAAAGAGTAATCTAGCCCGAGAAATAATCATTTACTTTAGATTCTAACTCCAGTTTAATAACACCCTCACACCTCAGATAGCCCTAGAGTGGTGTGTTAGCAGTGAGAGAACCTTGCATTTGTTTTTTTTTTTTAAGGATCTTGCATTTGTAGTACCTGGCAAGCCAAAGACTGCGTTCTTGTTCCCTTTCTTTAAACGTGTGTCTGGTGCGAGAGTACAGCTGTCTGTTGCCTGTGTCAGAGAAGAGCCGTTAGCGCCGGTGCCGGGCAGACTTGTTTCCTTGTGCCGGGATAGAAAACCAAACTTGGAGCATTTACAGCTGCAGGGTCACCGTGGAGAACTGTTCAGGCTTCAGAAAGCTTTCTGTTGCTCCCCACAGGTGTTCACTGTAAATAGTTGGGAATTGTGCTTTTTTGTTTACCGCTTTATTTGTAAAGCAGTGACAGATCTCTGATCTACTGATTCACTCCCCCGAGTGGCCGAAGCGGCTGGAACCGGTCAGACTGAAGCTGGAAGCCTGGAGCTCTAGGTCTCCCACGTGGGTGGCAGGGACCCAAGCACCTGGGCCATCTTCTGCCTTCGCAGGCCCATTGATTAGCAGGAGTCTGGATCGGAGGTGGAGCGTGCAGGGCTGGAGCTGGCGTCACCTGGGGATGTGCCGTGTGCTCTGCGTTTCCCCCTGCCCGTCCTCCTCCTCCTGCGCTGGAATAGCCAGGCAGATCATCACATGGCACATCTGTGTCTCAGAAGGTTTCTGAATCTGAGAGCGTGAAATGGTTTGTGAAAGTGGAGGTGATCAGACCTTTCCTGGAGCCGGAGATCCTCTTTCACAGCAGGTCTAGTGGAACCCTCCGTGTGCGCGTGGGGTCTGTTCTTCTCTTCCCTCTCTTTCCACAAGGGAGGATTCAGGCTTTGAAGAGGTTGAGTGACTTCTCCGGGGCCACACGGTAGGAGGACTGACAGTTCTGGTGCCTCTAATTAAGTCCATTGTTTGCTTTTCCAAAAGTGAGAAGGAAGAAGATGACAATGAAAAGAGAGAAGATCCAGGTGATCACTGGGAGGAAGGCGGCGGTGGCGGAGGTGGCACGGAGAAGTCTTCAGGTCCCTGGAACAAAGCCGCTCCAGCACAAGCGCCCCCCGCTCCGGGAGTTGGTAAGCTGACGTTTTGCGTTCGGGAGGATGTCTGGTTTCTGTGCAGGTTCACAGGCGGGCAGCCTCCCAGCAGCTCCTCCGTTCCTGCAGGGGACTGTGTGCGGCTCCGTAAAGACTCGGCGCTTACATGAGCGGGACTTGGGAGCTTAGCGGCGCCCTCTGGGCTGCTAGGAGTCAGGCGCGTGAAGCTGTCAGCATCAGGGTCGGTTTTAATTTCCACCTAAATATTCATTTATTACAATGGGGGATGGTGAAGTTACTTACTGGACTCCAGGATACGCTTCATTTAAGACTCTCAGTAGTGATTTCCAAGGGTTGGGTGCAGCTCCAGAAGCGCTCCTTCACGGGAGAGGGAGTTCTTAGAGCCTTGATCTGCTGGCGCTGCTCTGACGCTGTCTCGCGTGGGCTTGTCGCGTCCTGTTTGTCACGTCTTGCAGCAGAGATTCTCATCAGGGCTGATGTTACTGCTCTTGGGGATGAAAAGTGTTAGATCTTAAACATGGCTTGGAGGCCAGGGCACAGACACGGCCCACATGATTTCTGTGGGATTAAACATTTCATCAGATAGAGGGCGGTTGGGGCTGGCGAAAAGAAAGTTTGAGAGCCACTGTTATTTTATTCAGAAAAGTGTTACAGACTGAAATCACCTGCAGTCTTACAGATCACAGATGGCTGTATGTTAACATTTTTGCACCCTTTCTAACTTTTTGCTCTACATGTGTGTTTTTATCCATTAAAAATTTCTTTAACTGCATCTGTCTGTGGTCCTCCTCCTCAGGTCTTTGGACCCCTCATCAGTGTTTGACACTTGGTCATGCCCTCGGGCACGATTTGGTCTTGGCTTCCCGCCAGCACAGTCTCCCGGGCCTGCAGTGCCGGGCCGCTCTGGGCGTGGTGCCCGCTTGTGCCTTCTTGCCCTTCTCAGCGTGTGGCAGCCTCACGCACGTGGATGTTTGTGGCTCTGAGGTCGAGCCCCAGCCTGGCGTCTCACTCAGCGCCGGCCGGGCTCTCCACCCGCCACTGCTCTGTCTCAGTGCTGTTCTCTCCATCTCCGGGCCGCGGACCTGGGTCTCTGTCTTGTTGGTTGCACATCTCGGTTTTATCTGTCAGTAGGCTCTGTTTTCACTGTTGCAGTGAATTCAGCCTGTTTGTACCTGTTCTCCTCAGGTACATTGCTGCCCCCATCCTCACCCCCGGTTTGAGCTGTTCCTGGCTCTTGGGTGCATTACTGACTGAGGAAAATATGTACATAACGTAACGCTGTTGAATCCTGTTGGAAATGGTGGGGCAAGGTAGGGAAAGTTGGAAGGCTGTACCCAAATGTTAGCTGTGGTGGAAGACTTTGGAGTTGCTTAGTTGCTTAATTTTTTCCCTATTTTACCTACATTTTCTAAGGTAAAAAGGGGGAAGAACTGTAAAATCCACTGATGATGTAAAGATGAAATAGTTAAGCATGTCTTTATTTTTTATCTATCACCTTTAGAATTTTGAATCAGTACTATACAGGCATTTCATCTATTAAATAATTTCTTTATATGTGTCATTGTATTTAATCAACCATCCGGGTAAAGAAATAGTTACTACTAGGTAAACTGAGGAATCAGTTGGGTGCTGTTCTGAAAGTCAGCCTTGGCGGGGCCGTCTCCCAAGTCCAGCAGATTCCTCTCGCGCGGGGACTTGGCTCACTGAGCTTCTTTGTGAAAATGATCGAGACTGCACGTGGAGGAGGAGCTAGAGCGCCTCCCTAGGGAAGAGCGTCCAGACAGCAAGGCGGCCCTGAGACCCTCAGACCACGTGTGCAGTTCAGTGTTGGGCAGGAGTAGCAGACTTAGATGCCAGACCTTGGATTCAGTTTCTCTAAAGGGTTAACATTTTTAGTTACAGAAACTCCAGAACCAGCGACGACTAGTGGTGTGTATAGGCCACCTGGGGCCAGGCTAACCACAACCAGGAAGACGCCACAAGGGCCACCGGAGATATACAGTGACACACAGTTCCCGTCCCTGCAGTCCACTGCCAAGCATGTAGAAAGCCGGAAGTAAGTGCTGTCATGGCTGCGTGTTGGGACCTCTGTGCTTTGGCCAAGGGCTGGGCTGTTGTTAGGAAATGAAAACTCACTTTTGGGACAGCTGCTCATTGGGAAAGCCTGGGCCGTCGGCCGGAAGCCAGGGTGGGATTCTGGGTGTCTGGGAGGACAGGCTCTGCAGACGGCGGAGCCTCCTCCCTGGGTTCTGTGGCAGTGACTGCGTCTCCGTAAGATGCTTTGTGAGTGTATTACCAGCTCCAGTCCTTAGGATCTGGAAACTGGAAATGAAAGAGCAGCACTGTCCTGTGTTCCCAGTTCATGTGAACAGATAGGATGGTGGCATTTGTAAATCTGATATTAAAATCGTCTTATTTCATCAGCTATTCAAAGTGAACTGCTATCTGGAGTTATGGTCACGTACGGTGCAGACACGTTTTATGTAGGGCTTGAGTCTTTAAAAGAACGTAAAACGGGAAAGAAATGTAAAGGACAGCAGTGGGGATGCTTTTTTGAGAGGCTTTTAAGCCAATCCCAGCCTTTGGGCTGGAATTTAAACCTGCACTTGGACTTGCCCCTGCTCTGTCCTGCAGAGGGTGTGCGGGACCTGGGAGGCGCTCGCCTCTCTGTCTGGTGGTTCCCACAGAGCAACGCCTGGCGCTTCGCCTGAGAGAAATCTTACTCAGCTCCTATGCAGGTGCAGTGTCTGCTACTTGCTAACAGTGAGGCTGAGTCTTAGGGGGAACGTCTCACAGCCCTCGACTCCGACTGCTCTTCCAGGCGGTGCAGTCAACTGCCCAGTGGAGGACGGGACCTTAGAGCTCTGCACACAATTCCCCTTTCTGTTCAGTTGAAGTTAAACACGATTTGATAGGCTTCTACTTACCAGTTTCTCCTTACTGTCTCCCCAAGATTCTTCTCAGGGGTGCTTTTTTCTTTCCTCTCTTTTTTTTTTTTTTGGCAAGGGAGAATATTTTCAAAAAACCCCTAATGAAGAAATATTACTGATTACATTTCTTTTCCCTTAGGGATAAAGAAATGGAGAAGAGCTTTGAAGTAGTAAGACACAAACATAGAGGTAGAGATGAGGCTTCAAAACACCAGGCCCTTAAACTTGAGCTAGGCAACCCGTATGCTGTGCTTGAAGCTCAGAGAAGCAGCCACACACAGTGCAATTAAGGGGTGGTCTTGGCTGACCCTTCTGAGGGAACCAGACCACAGCCGACCGCCATGAGCAGCATCCGTCACCTGATCTGCTGGACCTGCAGCGCCCGGCCCTGGTGCCCTCTGGAAGTTCAAGTGCCACCGCTGCTCTTTGTGTTGGATTTAGGGGGGTTTTCGTTGTCGCATAAACGTGTGAGCTAGGTTCAGGCGTGCTCTTCCGTAATTACTCTGCAAACCCAAACCCGCAGCTAGTGGTCATTCCAAAATCTTTTTATGTTCAGATACTGAGCCTTCGTCAGGGTTGACTACCTCAGATTTGCTGCCCTCATGTGGACTCCATGTGGATCGCAACTTCTGGATGAGAAGGTCACAGCTCTTGGGTGTTGATGTGAACATGAAACCAGCCCTGCTGGACTCCTATCAGAAATCCTGCAGAGAGTCAGCCGCCTGGGTTCTGATCTGCTGTAAAAGATGAAGATTTAAGTGACCTTAGTTACCCTGGCCTTGCCCCACCCATAGGAAAGACTCTGTAGTAGGCTGTGGCCACGTGCACTTCCTGGAACATGCCTCTCAAAGACCTGCTGTGTAGGTAGTGCTTCATCATGGAAACTTGGTAACCACAACTACCAACCAAACTTGGGTCCACAACATGGGACAGGGGGTGAGGGTGGGAATAATCTCGTTTCTTTTAGTAACTTTTTTATTTGCATAGTGCTTTTCTGGTGTTCCACATGAAGGCCTTTTTTGCTTCGACTTGGAATAAGTTCTTTGAGAGAGCTTGTTGCTTGGTTAAGTAAATAACCTGCAGTGCGCGTTAGACTGTGACATGTGTCGTGATTTGGCAGTCCCTAGAGTGGAGCCCAGTCGCCTGTGTGACGCAGCGGGTGCTGGAGGCTGTCTTCAGGTGCTGCTGCAGCCGCCTCTAACCAGGCCTGAGTGGCCCTGCACACTGCTGGCAGAGTGTGGCTTCTGCCCAGCAGGGGAGCCACTGAGCTGTCCTTACACCTTGAAAGCGACAGGAGCAAAGCCTCACCTACGACCCGTGTACGTTTCACGAATCTTCCTGATCTCTGGTAAGAAACCCTTACGTACCTCTGCCCAGATTTGTAAGGCATTGGGCACCCTCCAGATGCAGTGATTGTCCCAGTGGTTCCATTATCCACCTTTCGGTGCGTCTGTGTTCATTTTGAGAGGGTGCTGTAGCACTTCTGTTTTAACAATTACAGCTTAAGACATCCAGTAGTTTTTAGTCCTTGACAGGGACTAGAGGAAGCTACCCAGGATTACTGAAGTTTCTTTCCACCGAATGAGATAGTCTGGCCACTTCCTGGTTTCGATCATTGGTTCAAGAGGAATATTTCAAAGTGCTGTGTGACCATTTGATGCAGTCTGGGTTTCTCTATAGTAAGTCCTTTCGCTGAGTGCAGGAGTTTCAGACTTGCTGATGACGAGTGAAGCAAATGGGTGAATGAAACTGCTAGAGTGGGAGCGCGGCCTCACCGGAGTCCAGGCTTGCAGCGTCAGTGCAGGAGGGGACTCCTAGAGAGGCTACAGGAGCTCCTGCCGGGACCGTCCGGCCAGCCACTCTGGGCAGAAAGCTGCTGTGTTCCGAGGTTGTGGCGCACCTGCCTCCCCGCGTGTGTGGGTGAGGAGCTGAGCCAGCCACAGTGGCTTGGGTAAGGAAACCGGAAACGAGGAATTCTTGGCTACACGGAGGACATCCTTTGGGAACCAAAAAGCTTAAATAATCTCTTGGACTCGAGCCACATATCTTCCCTGAGATGTATGCATTTTTTTCCAGCAACATTTTGTTGTTGGATTGATTGAGAATGAACTGATGAATATGTGGAGGTTTTATTTACTGTGTTAGAAATACAAAGACCTGCAGCAGATTTAAATTCCAACTCGTTATAAATTTTTAAAGGATTGTGAATTTATCAAAATGCTCATGAATCAGGTTTTCATTACTGTATGGTTGGGTGGATGAGGCTGTCCATGGTACCATTTCTTTGGATTCTCAGGCATGGTTTCACAGTGCAAGAACTCTGTAACATTAACAAATTCAATAAAAAGTACACACATGAATTGTGGAATGTGGTTTTTATTGTCCACCTCGCCCGTGCCTTGGGGACGGTAAACCAGCTTGGAGCCTCCTTGGGAGAGGGTGGTGCTGGGCTCGTTTCCAGAATGTGCTGCATGTGCCCCAAGTTGTGGAGTGACTTGCCTGCGGAGCGGGGTGTCATCTGTCTTGGGAAAGCACTGATGACATGGGCTTTTGTCCTTGTGATACGAAGTTTCGTTACTTTAAATCAGGGAGTTTGTCCCTTAGAAGCGTACACACTTCTCAATGGAACAGCATTTTTTAATTTCAGGATTTAGTTTGGATTGTGGTCTCTAAATTTCTAAAGTAAACTTCAATTCCTGATAGTGGAGTTAAAATGCCTGATGGACAGTTTTTACGTTTGTACTTGAATTTCTTCCTTGACATACCCTTTGCAAACTAGGACATACAGAAACACCTCCCCCGCCCCAGGGCAGGCACGCAGCCTGGCGGCTAAGACGCCTGCCTCCTACTTGGGAGTGCCTGGGCCTGGCCAGCTTCCTGTAACGCAGCCCTGGGAGGCAGGGGTGATGGCTGCAATAGTTGGGGTCCTTCCACCCACACGGAGGGGCTAGACTGAGTTCCCTGCTCCTCTCATTCTCTGTTCTAGATTGTTCTTGGTTTGGAAGGCAGAGCTTCTGTCTGCTTGTTCACTCCCCACATGCCTACACCAGGCAGAGCTGGACCAGGTCGAAGCCAGGAACCAGGAACTGGGTCGGAAGTGGGAGTCGAGCTGGGGCTGCAGGCAGAGGCTTAACCCCCTGGGCTGCGGTGTTCGCCCCAGAAGAGTGGTTGGTAAGGCAGCCCAAGGAAGAACCAGAATTCTAAATGACGATAAAATGACAAGATGGGTAGAACCTGTCCATTTGAAACACCCCAGAATCTGAGGTGAGCCCTGAGAAGAGCAGGGGAGCTCTGAGGACCAGCAGCCTGGGAGCCCTCGACTGTGTGTGTGCCCTGGAGGCTTGAGCGCAGGTAGCAGACAGGAAGAGTGACTTGGAACGCTGGCCTGGCCCGCAGGGGCCCACGTCGGGCCACAGCAGGTTAAGCTGCCACCTGGGGTGCCCCTTTGAGTCTGGCTGCTCCACTTTCCAAGCACTTGGGCCCCTGCCACCCACGTGGGAGATGAGATGGAGTTCCTGCCTTTGGCCTGGCCCAGGCCTGTCCATTGCAGCCAGTTTGGGAGTGAACCAGATGGAAGATCTCCGTCACTCTGCCTTTCACATAAAAAATCGGGGGGACAAAGTGGTTACAGATGTTTAGTGTGGTGTCCTTCAGTCGGCACTGCACTTCGAGGAAAGGAGTTTTCTGTGACCAGCTTCTGTTTTCCTTCAGACCTCAGCACGGTCTTTGACCCCAGGTCCTGAGGTTAAATTTAGGATGTGGGGCCGCCACCTGCAGCGCTGGTAACCCATGTGGGCCCTGGTTCGAGTCCTGCTGCTCCGCTTCAGATCCAGCTCCCTGCTGTGGCCTGGGAAAAGCAGTGAGGATGGCATTGTGGCCAGCTACGGAGGGAATCAGCAGATGGGTGATTCTGTTTAAAATCTTAAAAAAAATGTCAGGGTGTGGGTTTTAAAGATTTATTTGAAAGGCAGCACGTTAGAGGGAGAGACACAAACATCTTCCATCAGCTGGTTCACTCCCCAAATGGGCACAATGGCCGGAGCTGGGCCAGACCGAAGCCAGGAGCTCTGGTCTCCCACGTGGCTGTCAGGGGCCCTTTATGCCACAGCCACAGCTCCGGCCCGGGATGTGCCTTTTCTTAGCTTGTGACAATGTTGCTAATTTCCTATACCATCCCTTTTGCCTTATTTTCCAGAGAACTCAAACTTGGACCTTTTCTCTTAAAATAGGCTGTTGGTTGTTTTGGATGTTGGCATCAGAAACAGCCTTGCCTAGGGACACCCCCCCAACACTGCAGGCGAGGCCTTTACCTGTGGGAGTGGCTTTCTTCCTGCGAGGTGGAAGAGAATCAGGTTCCCAAACTGCTGCCTTGAGGAACAGGTTTTAGAAGCGTGGTGATGCCTGACTCAGCCCCAGGCATTCTTTGGTAATGGGGGTGTGGCCTCAGCACAGGGGTTCTTAATTAGAATATGCAGCAAAGCTTGGGAACATCAGAGAAATCACCTCCCCAGGTTGGGAACTGGAAAATGGCCCTGGGCTAGTTTTGAGGATGTAGGAAACCCTGCAAGTTGCACTGTAGCCCAAAAAGGGTCAGTGTGTGTGTGTGTGTGTGTGTGTGTGTGTGTGTGTTTTGCCAGGCAGAGTTAGAGAGACAGTGAGAAACAGAGAGAAAGGTCCTCCTTCCATTGGTTCACCCCCAAAATGGCCGCTACAGCCAGCGTTGTGCTGATCTGAAGCCGGGAGCCAGGCACTTCCTCCTGGTCTCCCATGGGGTGCAGGGCCCAAGCACTTGGGCCATCCTCCACTGCACTCCTGGGCCACAGCAGAGAGCTGGACTGGAAGAGGAGCAACCGGGACTAGAACCTGGGGCGCTGGTGTCAGCCGGCTTATTGTATTTCTAAATGTGCTTTCAGATACTGTTGGGAGGGGAGGATCCTGAAGTGCCAGTAAGGGGGAGAAAGACCTGTAAGGTGAGGTACTGAATTCTGGTACACATTTTTGTAGCTTAGTAATTATCAGTAAAGACCATTTTATTTATTTTAAAAGCTTATTTATTTTGAAAGAGCGAGACAGAGAGGGCTCTTCCATCCGTTGCTTCACTTCCCACTTGTCCCCAGTGGTCACAGCTGGGCTGATCAAAGCCAGGAGCTTCTCCCGGGTCTGCCACGTAAGTGCAGAAGCCCAGCCACTTGGACCATCTTGTGTGGCTCTTAGGCACATCAGCAGGGAGCTGGATTGGGAGGTAGGCATCTGGGACGTGAACTAGCACCTGTATGGGTTGCCAGTGTCACAGGCTGCAGCGCTGGCCCTGAAAAACTTTTAAATATTCCAGCTGTCATTTGTGCGGTAACTCCCTCTTCATCAGTACAGTGACGGTAGCTGCTCACTGTCCTGCGTATGACACAGCTCTCTGACGGGGGTCCCAACCCGCTGGTTGTCACCCTGTCCTCACGCTACTCCTGGCTACTTTAAATCTGCCCTTCCAGCACCTCTGGGTTCTAAGTATCTTCAGAATTCTGAGGTGAAGCAAAATCGACTTCCCCAGAGAGGAGCAGAATCCTGCTGCTGATCCACTTGAAGATCAGCCTGCAGTTGGGTCCGAGTGTCACCTCCACTCGCCAGTCCCTTTTAAAGGTCACACGGGCCGGAGTGGCATAGGCACAGGTTGGAGTCCCAGGCTTGTCCTGGCTTGTGCCTTGTAGGAACCATCGCGGCTTTTTTCCCAGATTCCTGATTTTACGATTCCCATTTCCCCTGGTGGAGTGGCAGAGGCATCTGCAGGCGTTGTCACACTGTATCGGTTTCTTCTGGCTGCCATCACTGGACACTGGGTGGCCTGATCCTAGAGCAAGGAGCCTTCTTCCGGGGCACGTGGACAGCGGCCGTCCATGCTGTCTGCAGACTGCCCCTCCGCACACACCCCTGATGCCTTTTCTTCCTCTCAAAGTCTAACCCTGCTCTCAGGGCCTCCTTCCTAATCTCCTTAGAGATACACTGGGGTTTAGGCTTTCGGGCACGAGTCGTCACAATATAAATGCCAACCCCGTGAATCACTGAGTAGCCTGCTCTGCGGATTCCCGCCTCCGTCAGCTCGGAGACCACGCGTTCCGGAGGTTAGACTCCAGCACACCTTGCATGAAGAAGAGTCCTGTTCGGTCAGTTAATGAATGTTGGTGAGATGGACTAATGCACCAGAAAATGGGCAGAGAATCTGAGTATTACCTGTCACGTGTTAAGACACTGTAGCACTTCTGAGAAGACAGTAATTAAGGAAACTTCTTCAATGGGACTGCTACCTACGCTTGGAATGACCTGCATTTAAGAGGTCACTGGTGCAGGCAAAAGGGCATTTTATTTACAGACTAGGAGTGAGAGGCAGGGCTAAAGTGGGCCATCCAGGGTGGGCAGGGGCTGGAGCCTTGGATGTCCGCTGTGTCTAAGGCCTAAACCGAAAACAGTTCAGAATTTTTGCAGAAAACAGTGGTAGATTTGGTAATCTGATCAGGGAGAAACAGAATCTTAGCACTTAAGTGTGCTCATCAAAAATTGTGAACAGTTGCTATTTCAAAGAATTTTTAAGTGGTAAAGTTCAGGAAAATCTATGACATGATTCAGCCTAACAGGAAATGGCCGGAAGCAAGTGAAGGTGGGGTTTTGTCTGGGGAGGGGAGGGGGGCAGGAGACAGGTTACATAACGATGCTACCTGCTGCTCCGGAATCTGCTGTCCTAAACTATGAAGCAGCTCAAAGCTCAGCCCTGCTGGGCCAACTCCCCCAGCAGCTGCTGCTCCACTCGGAGGACTCCTCCCTCACAACTGCATTTACCGTCACACTGTGGTCCTCCCTCACAACTGCATTTACCGTCACACTGTGGTCCTCCCCTCACAACTGCATTTACCTTCACACTGTGGTCCTCCCTCACAACTGCATTTACCGTCACACTGTGGTCCTCCCTCACAACTGCATTTACCGTCACACTGTGGTCCTCCCCTCACAACTGCATTTACCTTCACACTGTGGTCCTCCCTCACAACTGCATTTACCTTCACACTGTGGTCCTCCCTCACAACTGCATTTACCTTCACACTGTGGTCCTCCCTCACAACTGCATTTACCTTCACACTGTGGTCCTCCCTCACAACTGCATTTACCTTCACACTGTGGTCCTCCCTCACTGTCGCTCCCCCTCTTCGTGGAGGAACGACACAGGACCCTGCGCTGTTCTTTCGTCTGCTCGGCCCTCCCCGGGTTTGCTGCTGGTTCTTCCCGGGTTGGCTACTATCCCTTCCACCTCCGTGGAAGGGCAGTTCCCCCTGGCCGCATTCCCCACTTCCGCAGGGGAGCGGCACACCGCCGGCCG